AGCTGATTTGCCCAATGCAGTATGTCATTTAAAATAATTTTTTTAGTATGCTTTAAACTATATCCTTTAGAAGTAGTTTGTTTTGTTTCCTGTAATTGTTTCTAAGTGACCAGGCTCACTGAAACGAGAGACTGGTTCCATTATTCCTTATCTTTCACTTGAAACTTATTGTTTCAGAAAACAATCAAGATTAATGAACATACCCTGTTTTCAAAACTTCAGGAATCTTGCAACCCCGGCTCACTTACCTTGTGATTGCTTAGCAGTTTTTATTTAAACTTTAATATTTAAACACATACTGTTTGTCTTAGTTATCTAGTGCTGTTATAACAGAAATACCACAAGTGGGTGGCTTTAAGAAACAGAAATTTATCTTCTCACAGTTTAGGAGGCTAGAAGTTCGAATTCAGGGTGCCAGCTCTAGGGGAAGCCTTTATCTCTCTGTAGACTCTGGAGGAAGGTCCTGGTCTCTTTGAGCTTCTTCTGCTCCTGGGTAGTCTTCATATGGCTTGGCATCTCTCTTTCCCCATCTCTGCTTCGCTCGCTTGTTTAATCTCTGTTATATCTCAAAAAACAGTAACTCAAGATATACTCTACACTAATCCTGCCTCATTAACAACAAAGACAACCCATTCCAAATGAGATTGTAACTACAGGCATAGAGATTAGAATTTACAACACATATTTTTGGGGGACATAATTCAATCCATAACATTTCACCCTTTGGCTCCCCAAAATTTATGTTCTTGCCACATGCAAAACACATTCACCCCATCACTGTTTTTAAAGTAAATGTCAACCAATCAGAAATTTTGTTCAAAGTTCTGATTTGGATATTGACTATTAAACCTGTGTAGCAATCTGTTATTGGTGTTTTGAGTTTTTTTTTTTTTTTTGATAGTCTGAATATTTTGTTTATCTTTAAACTCATCAGTTAATGAACATTTAGGTTGTTTCCCCTTTTTGGCAATTATAAATAAGGCTGGTATGAACATTCAGGTGTAAGTCTTCGTGTGAACATATGTTTTCATTTCTCTTAGGTATATACCAAGGAGTGGAATTGCTGGGTCATATGGTAGCTCTGTTTTCCACAGCAGCTGTAACATTTTACATTCCCATCAGCAATGTATGAAGGTTCTAATTTCCCCATATCCTGGACTACACTTGTTCTTTTCTTTTTAAATAGCCATCTAGTAGGTGTGAAGTGGTATCTCATGGTTTTGATTTGCACGACTCTTTGGTGCTAACAACAACAACAATTTGTGACGTTGAGCATCCTTTTCATGTGCTTATTGGTCATTTGTACATCTTCTTTGGAGAGACGTCTCATATTTTTAAAAGATGCCAGTAGACATCTCACATTGTTGTTAGGATTAAATGAGACAATCTGTCTATGCGTTAGTGTTCACTAAGTATTATATCCCTGCCTTTACCTTTTCCATCATTTCCATTCTTGCTGCCATAAGGCTCATCTCCTCGCCTCTGGAAAACAGCAAGTTTTGTTTAATTGTTTCCCTGATTCTCATCACTTCTCACTCAGTTCTCGAACTGCAGCCAGATGGATTTTTCTAAAGCATTTCTTTGAAAATTCCTTAATAATAATGATAATAATAATAACTGTAATATAAAAACATTTGCTAAAATGCATTGAGTGCTTATGGTATGCACTTTTCTCAGCCATTTATGTATATTGCCTCATCTAATCCTCACTGCAACCCTTTACTGTATGTGCCATTATCATTCCATTTTATAAATAAGGAAATTGAGGCAAAGAGCAGTTAAATAAATGAATTTGCTGAGGTCTCACAACTAAAGAGACCGTTACAAGTTTCTTATTAAAGAAACTTGATGCTGAAGTTAGAGAGTGGGATTAAAGATGCTCAAGTGGGACCTCTTAGGGTGCCTGTACCTTGATGGTTCTTCATGACCCAGGGTCTGATCCTTAGCTGTGCAGGTTCATTGCCAGCCTGTGAGCAAGAGCCCTGCTCTCTGACCTGCCGATATTGGGTTCACCAGCCCCTGTGGCTACGTGAATCAGGAGAAGCCTCTATTCTGACCCATTGACTTGGACGTTCTAGCGTGACAATTTCCTTGATATAAATCTGTCTCTCTATATATTTATTTGCTTTACTGATTTTGCTTCTCTAGAGAACCCAGCCTGACACAAGTGAAGTTACATAATTTGCTGAAGTCACCCAGCCTGTAAGTAGTGAAACTCTGCTCTTAATATGCTGGGCAGTGATTCATGCACTCTCTTTATGGGAGTGTCTTCCAGGCCAGGGAGTGTAATTGGACTTGGACAAGTGTTTCATCGTCTTGGCTCCTTAGCATTGATTCTGTCTCTACCAACTGGCTTTCATCTTCTTGCATCCAATCCCAAGATTCCAAACCATGACTATTAAGGGACCTTTAGGGAAAAGGAATCTGCTTAACCTGACCTTCAGAATGGATATATGAATAGATGGGGGTGGGTACTGGGGTAAAGGGATTGAGGATTCAGTGCGATTTCTTTCCCCAATGACAAACCCACACTGATCTCTCTCACCTCTGTACCATTGTGGGCTGCAAAGTTGAAATTTTAGTACATATGGTATGTGTTTTCAGTTCCCTGTGGACAAGGAGCATAGACAGGTTAGGTTTCTTTTGTGCTTTTGGTGCCTAGCAGAGTCCTGTATACACAGCATGTATTTACAAATAACTGCTAGAAGACGAGATTTCTGAGCTATACTGGTTATAGTATGAAGGGAGAAGAGGTTTTGAGATAAACCTGCCCCCACTGCCGCTGGAGTTCCCCAGCTGAAGATTTCTCTACCCACTGTGAAATTTCTCAGCAGAATGAATCCAGTTTGAAGCACAAAGGCAGAAATTGTTATTTTTTGGCTTGTTTTGTTTGCAGAAGTGGGGATTATGAATCATTCTTTTTAGTCTTAAATCAAACTGCTGCATTCTTATTAGATTAGCAGTCTTCTTTCCAAATTCCCCCCTGAATCTCAACTCTTGCTTAGCTTTGAATCACAAAAAGTATCGGACAAATGATCTCTCTCAGTACCAGCACTGATGAATTGGCATGTGCTTACTCTTATACAAGAATTTAAGGATTTTGAGTCATTTTATGATAATATCATTATGGCCTCACATACTTTTGAAAATACAGTTTATTTAAGAATGTAAATAATATAATGGATATATTTGGTTGCATAATAACAATCATTTTAAGTGTATCATACAGATGCACATGGTCAACATTCAGTGTTCTTCAGAGGGGATGGTATAGATTATGCTTTTATTTTCGTCTCTATAATGTAATGATTGACAAAGTAAGGTAGCCAAGATATATTGTTCTACAATTGTATGCCCAGTACGGTAATTCTCAGCCTTTTTTTTTTTAATCTTATGTTCCACCAGCAAATATATCCAATAGGTCTTAACAAATTACAAATTAAAAAGCCCACACTTTCAGGAAAGATCACATTTCATAAGACTTCTACTATTTTTTCATCATTTATTGTGTTAAACCTGTGAAAAATTGTAGTAGAAATTGCTATGACTTTAAAACAAGCAAAAATGATGCCTTTATTAGTTGGACATTGTTGTTATATAGCTGAGTATGCATTTTAACTGTAAACTGTAACTGTAAAACACAAAAATGTTCAATAAAAATATCTTTATCAATAGGCTTATGTAAAATTCTATAACATCAGGTGGATAAAGCAGAATAAATTTGCTGGCATCTAGAGGTCAGGTGATATGGAAATGAAGCTCAAGGGGTGCAAAAGATACGTCAAGGACACAGCTGGCCAGAAGAAATGGAGAAGGGACAGAAGCCGTATGGATACACCACAGCATGCAGGGTCATCAGAAGCTGCACAACAAAAAGACTTGTGCACATAGGAAGCAAGGATTAGAAAAAATTTTGTCCCAGGTAACAGTGAGTACATCAAAAGTCATAGATCCCTGGGAGCCAGGGTCAGAAGACATGGTGTGTCACAGACATGACAACCAGCCAGTTAGGGAAATTGGAATGTCGATTCTGTGTCTCATTGAAGCTCTGGTAGGTTGAGGACTTCTGGCCCAATGTGGTACTTAGGTCTCAGGTTGGAATCACTGCCCTAGCCTATGTTGTGGTTCCCTGCTTTTTTTAAAAAAATGGTTTGTTATACACTCACAATGATTTCAATTATATAACTGAATTACAATTAATTTCACTTCTTATAGGATCACTATGAGTTGGAATCGACTCAATGGCAACCAGCTGGTTTTTTTGTTTTTTTAATTTAAGAATGACTTGCTTAAAGTAAACTCAGTATATAAAAATCAGAATTAAAAAAATGGAATAGAAATTATTCACTTTTCAGTCACTGGATTTCTCAATGTTTTGCTTATTGTTGCCTTTTCATACATTTGTTACCTGCCTAGCCATGTAATATTTGAAGTCCCACAACCCGTAACAGTTTGAAAGACCTGATCCGAGTGCCACCTAGGGCATCTAAAGATGAATGTGGTGTTTTATTCCAGTCATCTGTGTAGCAGCTGGTCTTTTTCTTAGCAGCTCTAGGGTTCGCATTTAGTGTTTGGAACCAGGGAAAATTATGTCCCTGTGTAGCTCTTTAAAATGCATCCCTGTCCAAAGAGAGTCTTGGGCTTTAGCCTTTGCTCCCCTCCAGAAGCCTTGACTCTAAATGTGAAGCTCTTTCTGGACTGAAACTGTATAAAAGTAAAGATCAGGCTGTATCTTTTTAAGAATGTCTGCAAGTTTCATTACTAATACCCTATTTAGTATACTGATACTTGTATTGAATGTGCAGTGATGCAGAGGGATATAAAAAACAGAACTGAAAGATTAGGAAAAAATTTTGACGTGTAGCAAGGAAAATGTTCCACAACATGCTGAGAGCTTTCCATGTCCCTTAGATGTTGCTTGTCTTTTTCCTTATCTCAGCTCTTCCCCAGTGGTGGCTATTTGGGCCACTCAACTCAGGATCCACAGCTTTCCAATACATTCAAATTTTACAGAGCTTAAACATGATCTTGCTTGAATGTTTTTCCTTAGGATGGTCCACTGGAATTAGCTTAAGGTGATTATCGCAGACTCCGATAAATGTTCCAGGATTGCTCATGCATTCAAATGAAACACAATCAGTGGACAGCTGATGAAAGAGAAAGAAGGCCTGGTCTGGCAATGGCTTTTCGTCTTCTGACCACTGAGGAAACGAGAGAAAGTAACCAATTTGTGAATGGGAAATCCAGAGTCAACATCATCTCCCTGTGTTAGGAACTAAAGGGGGGATATTCACGTATGATTTGATGTTTCTAGCAAGACCGCTTACTGAGTAGGGGAGGAGAGGGAGGAAGAAGGAAGTGGAAGACCAAAGAAAGGGGAATTTGATTTACTGATAGCAATATATTTTGAGCAGCAGTATGGCTTAGAATACTGGATCTAGCTGCAGCACTTCTGGTTTGTACCCTGCTTTTGCCATGTACAGGAGCCCTGGTGGTGCAGTGGTTAAAGTGCTCAGCTGCTAACCAAAAGGTTGGCGGTTTGAACCCACCATCTGCTCCATGGGAGAGAGATGTGGCAGTCTGCTTCTATAAAGATTTACAGCCTTAAAAACCTTATGGGGCAGTTCTACTCTGGGTCGCTATGAGTCAGGAAAAAAAAAAAAAAGATTTTTTTTTTGAAGCCTTGGTGGTACAGTGCTTAAGAGTTCGGCTGCTAACCAAAAGGCCAGCAGTTGGAATCCACTAGCCGCTACTTGGAAACCCTATAGGGCAGTTCTACCATGTCCTATAGGGTCTCTATGAGTTCAAGTCCACTCCACAGCAACAGGTTTTTTTTTTGTCTTTTTTTTTTAATGAGTTGGAATCAACGGCAGTGGGCTTGGTTTGGTGTTTGGTTTTGGCATGTACTAGCTCTGAGGCCTTGGACATATTGCTTTACTTCTCAAGCCTCAATTTTCTAGTCTGTCCACTTTCCTCATCAGTCAACCTCCAACTTATCCACAGATATGTGAGTGATAATAAATGAATATTACTTTAAGCCACTGAGTTTTGGCGATGGTTTATTACACAGCAATAGCTGACTAATACAATAACTCCATCATAGAGTTAATGTGAGGATTAAATGAGACAGTGCTTGTAAAACATTAGCACAGTGCTTGGTATATAATAAGAGCTCAGTATAGGTCAGCTCTTATTATTGAGTAGTTATACATGCCAAACCAATATGTTAGATACGTTTAGGAATGTTTTGTTAAGGGAGAAAAAAAAAGCTGCTTGTTACCATCCAGTAAGTTTTCATTAATAATGCCTTACACAGCAGTCTTAGTTATCTTTATAACTCCATGTGTTTATGTAATTTATATTCTATATTGTACGCCCTTGTTTTCTTCCTTGCCTCCACCTTTGGCTTGTTTGTTTCTCAGGAGGCTTATAACTCTCCATCATGATCAATATGATATTGCCATTTACCAACTGAAGAAGCAACAGCAGTGAATCCTGTGATCAGAATATAGATTGTTGTTATGTTATCCAAAAATCTTGGCATATGGCAATGTTTACGACCCTCTTTTTAGCAGGCTTGGAGGGTAAAGTTACTTTTGCATTTGCCTAGGAAAACCATATTTTATGAAGAAAAAGAAGAAAAAGTTCCTGGAAGAACACTGTAGTTCCGAAAGCCAGATAGAAAGGGTTTGAGATCATTCTATTTGGCAATGCTTCTCGGACTTTAATGAGCACATGAACCACCTGGAGATTTGATAAAATGCTAATTCTGATTCAGTTGCAGGGAGTCTGAAATTCTGCGTTTCTAACAAGCTCCTAGGTGATGTTGAAGGGCTGGAGACCAGACTTCCAGTAGTAAGGTTCTACAGACCACTTCCCCACTTTTCTCAGCCCCCAAACAAGTTACTTGTAGTAACTGATTGTGTTTTATGTATAATAATACAAATAAAACCCCTCCTGCAAAATACTCCAACCATCCAAATCTACACAGATGGGTAGAGCTGATCGTGAGAGTTAATTAAGTACATACTTCTCGAATCTCCAGAGAGAGGTTCTTGTTGTTGGCATGCAGGCAGAAGTTTTCTTCTTTTTTAGGACTCAGTTTTACCATAAGCTTCTTACTATCAACCTCATCACCTGACAATTAAAAAAAAAAAAAAAATTGTAAGTTACAAAGTTAAAAATTGTAACTCATTTTAATTTAAACAAATTTAACACCCTGGAAAGGAGTCTAAGATGTTATTTAAAATAACTACTTAATTAGCCAGCACGACTCTTAGAAATCTTTGCACCCAAATGAAATTAAAGAGTCGTTGAATAACTAGAGGGTGCTTCAAAACCCCTTGAAGACGAGAGGTGAGTTTTCTTTTATGCTTTCTAATTGAAGAATTGTGACTCTAAAGGGTACCTCCCTGGCCATCAGCTTTCCTGTGTTCATATGAAAGCCACTAATAGTTTTCTCCCAATATCCAACTTCTCCTCTTGTGTAATAATGAAACATTCCCCAGTCTGTCGTCTTGCAGCTAAGTGTAGCTTTGTGACTAAGTTCTGACCAGTGTGAGGTGAGTGGAAATGTTGGGTGGAGCTTCCAGGTTGTGCCCTTAAAGGAAATGCATATGCCCATCTTCCCGTGTCCTGCCACTTGGAACATAGGCACAGGGGCGAGTTATCTTGAACCATGGAGGTGTTGGCAGAGTCACAAGATAGAACAAGTTGGGTCGCTGGACAGCCTGTTCAGCAGAACTGCCATTCCAGCCCTGGCTAAGACGGAAATAAGTTTTATCTAGCTTGTGTCGTTGTTGTTAGGTGCCGTCAAGTTGGTTCTGGTTCATAGCAATGCTATGTACAACAGAACGAAATACTGTGCCAACCTCACGATTGTTGCTATGCTTGAGCCCATTGTTGCAGCCATGGTGTCAATCCATTTCTTTGAGGGTCTTCCTCTTTTTCACTGACCCTCTACTTTACCAAGCATGATGTCCTTCTCCAAGGACTGGTCTCTCCTGATAACATGCCCAAAGTATGTGAGACGAAGTCTCATCATCCCTTTTTTTCCCTAAGGAGCATTCTGGCTGTACTTCTTCCAAGACAGATTTGTTTATTCTTTTGGCAATGCATGGTATATTCAATATTCTTCTCCAACTGTTATTTTGGATCTCGTACATGTAGCCAAAGCTTTATCATAACTATTAAACTGCAAATGGATGAGATGGAGTAAATCCTCTGAGAAGGTTTTCTCATGAGTTTGGGTTAGAGAAGACCTTCCGAGATGTTAGTTCATGTCTACCTTCCCTGTGGAGCATTTTTGGATTTGTCTTTACCCCAGACTTAAGAATTCAAGCACTATAGCTACCCAACCCTCCAAATTACCTGATTCACCTGCGGGTGTTTGAGAACCATAGTAACGGAGAAACACCTTGTCTGAAAGAGAATGCATAAAATCCCTTTGGTGAGATACAGTATTATCAAAAGGTTTCAGTTTCAACATATACACAACATCAGAAAATATCCTCCTCTCTTTCTATATACCAACAAAGGCAAAACTTTTGTGGTTTTGAGAAAGGTCTCAAAAGTGTACGAATATACTCTGCTAATATTCCGAATACAGTTGTTATTAAAATACTTAAAATATTGCTGTTAGCATTGGTACAATCTTTTACTAGAGGTTGTACTTTGGTGATATTGTTAAGGCTGGAAAAATCTAGTGGATAATTTAGAAATAGCAAATACATGCGGTTCCTCTGTCTTTCACAACAGATACCACTTTTCAGTATCAGCATTGTTCCCTGATGAACCCTGGTTAAGCTTCAGAATCCATCTCTACACAGTGATGTTCAGGCATCTTCTGCTAGTGGATTGGAGTTTGCATACCGCATGAAATCACTCTGTAATGTCTGAGTTAATCCATTGTTTATGGTTTAGTAGATTTGTTTTTCACTTTACCAATAATCATCACATCATTACAGACAAAAAGAAATGTTCTACCTTTCTCTTGGTCTTTTCCCAAATCTTCAACATAGATGGCATAAGCTCCGTCCTCAAAAGCAAAAGTGATGAACTGATCGTTGAATGTGCTCAGAGAAGCGTAATATTCGAACATAGGTGAACTTTCTGCCATTAAGAATTTAAAAAACATGTTTCCATGAATAATTCTTTGAGCAAACTCTTTTTTTAAAACCCCTCCTCAAAGGATCCTTTTTATTTTGCAATTTGAGCAGCACTTTGTCAGTATTGGTGTCTTGCTCTTTTAGGAGGCAGATGAAACCTTTGCCACAAGCTTTATGTAGCTCAAAGGTTGTAGAAGTTGAATGCGACTAAAGGTGCCAGCCCCCGCCCCCGCATGAAGGCCATGGGGGGGTCCAGTTCGTGTGCATGAGGGAGGGGCAGGTGGGGTTAACGAAGCTGGAGAAGTGACAGACATGGCCTGCGGAAACCTCCGTGTTCTGGCTTCCCATGGTCTAGGGGACTGTGGACAAGACGAGACTGTATTTTAATGGACATGGATAAATGAATTCTATCTATAAGGTGTAGAGTCACTCAGTGTCTTCTGACAGTGAGAGAATGGGAGTGTGAGTCCTTTCTATCCTCTTGCAAAATACCAGGACACCGTAAAGCAATGCCCCTAACTTTTTTTTTTTTTAAATGTCACGTCACATATAGAAAATGATAATATTTTTATAGCATGTTGAAATAAACTAGAGCAGATTTAAGGGCTACCTATATGGGGCCTGAAGGAAAAAAAAAAAACATTAATTTTCTTTACATTACAGAATTATGCTAAGAAAAATAATACAAAATATTAAGGAGAATGTTAAATTTTGAATTTTTTAATGAACTTCTAAATTTAAATGATTTAAAAATGTTTAGTGGGAAACTTCAGTATGTTTCTGGGATCTTAGGTTATTCACATTAGGAATTATGCTTGAAATGGCAACATGCAATTCCTGGTCAAGTTTTCTTAATGATGATATCTTCAATTCTTGACAGTTACTCAGATCATCAGCTTGGAACTCCTTTGGCATAAGTAGGTGATAAAATCTAAAACCACTTTCACAACTAGTTAAAACATGTAAGAGTTGAAATTATATTTTAAAAATATAACAGCTCTTGCTTTTCTTTCATTGAGAAGATGTTGAAATTTCTTGGGATATTGTGCTTTCTCCCATGGGATAATATGTTTTCCCCCAAGAAGAATATCTATGGAGTTTGAATCCATAGCCAGCATTTCAAAATAAAGCTGCAGTGCTAAACTGTAGAATGCCCATGCATTGCGAGAGCAGCTACCCCCACGGCTAGTTTGGATATATCACTAACCGGCATGCCAGCTACCAACGGACGGCTGGTTCTGATGACATGCAAGACACAGACTTGGGGCTGCTACCTGGAGTGGCACTTGCCAGGGTCTTGTGTCTTACCACCCTGCCCACTGACACCCGAAGCCTGTGACCAGCCATACTTTGGATACTTCGACTTTTCTGCTCGGTGGCAAATCTGGTCACCCCAGAAGACCGTGGAAAGATTTGATTTTGCTTCACAGGCAGTTGTGGACAGGCAGAGAATACCAGATGTTGTTTTTTGCTCTTGTCACCTGCAGGACAGGGGAGAGAGTGCAGGTGGACTGTCAGTCCCTATACTGCATAGACCACCTTCTGAGGATCCCCAGTTGAAGCTGCTTGCTGTCAGGGGTGACTGACCCCAGGTCTATGGCCACCCCAAGATCTGAAGGGATCAATACCTCCTGGCACACTTACAACCCAGTAGGGCACACCCATTGGAGACCAGGGGGAAGAAAACTAGTCACCCATGGTCTTAACACTCAAAAGTCAACCACTATGAACTTTTCAGTGTACTTCTTTTCTGTTAAAAAACAAATCACTTTAAAAATATATAGTTGCAAATATATATAGTATATATAATTTTGCATGCTCTGTTTTCACTTAACATAAAAACAATTTCTCCCATTCTATTAAAAACTCTTTATATGACACTTTTAAATGGCTAAAAAGCAGTCCATCATCCTTACTCTTTTTCAGCAGGAAAATTTGGGTGAGGAAAAATTACATCTCTATTTGTGATAAGCAAAGGCAAATAGATGCCCATCACTATAGTTAAGAATTGCCAGGCAGTGAGTTTATCTTAATGGGGGAGGAAGACTTCGGAAGAGGAGGGTGAGAGTGGTTGCACAACTTGAAGAATGTGATCAATGTCACTGAGTTGGACAGGTATAAATTGTTGAATTGGTGAATGTTCTGCTGTGTATATTAAAAAAATAAAAGAATTACGGAAAGTGTACAATTCCCCTTACCAGTTTTTGGTGACATCCTTTTGGTGGTTTCTTTCCTAAAGTAACAGGCATTTTTTATGGTAAGACCGGAGCGGAGCTTCATAAAGTACACCTGGTGCACTTCTTCTCCAGCCTTCTGTTGGGATTCTAAACAATTGAAAAATTGTGATCCTGTTTCATTCCATCCACTCTTACCTTTTAAAAATCCTGAGTGTTGCAGACCAAGAAAGCAGGGCCAGGTCCATAGTCTCTTATCAGAAACCCCTGGGGCCAGTTGTGTTTCAAAATTCAGAGTTTTTTGGATTCTAGAATTCTAATGAGGAGCACATACTACATATATGTAGCACCCCCAGCAAGGACAGAAACAACAGCACTCCATAATAAAAAATTAATAGTGTTAAATACTAAAACATAGGAAAATTCACACACAGTGAAAGAAAAACCACATATTAGTTCAGGCCAGGATTTAACTGTCACCTGAATTCAGGTTATAATTTGCTGGTTATTTCTAGGGTATAATTTTCAAATAAACTATGAAAATTTAGGACTTTAGAGAAGATTCTGGGTTTCATAATTGTATGTAATGAATTGTGGAGCTACATTCAACATATACCAGTCTTTTCTTAACTGAGGGGGGACTCTTAAAGTCATATGAAGTCTGCAATTTATTACTCATCTAGAATACACTTTTAATAATTTTGGAGAAATAGCTGTGGTCTATAAAGGTTATTGGTATTAAAAACAGCTGCCATTTACTAAGGGTCTAGGTGGTGCAAATAATTTTACATAGGATTTCATTTAAACCTCACAATGATCTTGTCAGGTAGAGATTATTATCCTCATTTTACAGATGATGAACTGAGGGTCTTTGGCATCACGACGCTTTGGAGTCATGCCACTTGCCCAAGGTCACAGGGCTAGTAAGAAGATGTGATTCAGGTGGGCCTAATATCAAAGCCACTCTTTTCCACTTCCATCTAAGAAAATGCTACATTTGCAGGACTATCAAACTGCAAATTCAAATAAATGAGTTGAAGTTGAAGAAGATAGTTCCTGAGTAATTCTTATTTTGATTAGTCAAAGAAAAACTAAAATCTCAAATAGAAAATTAAATTTGCTTCTTAAAATCATAAAAAGCCTTTCAGAGTCAAATAAAACATTATAACACTTGAGTCATTCAAGTGAGTCATTCAGTTTTCAACATTATAGTAAATGAACCATCAAGCAGTATATACAGTATAGGCAAATTTCAATTATTCTGTAAAATAATACTTATTATTATAAATATGATTATAAAAATGCAATTATTATATTATTATATGAAATAAAGTTATTATATAAAATATCATTCTTCAGTTAAACATCTTCAAGGGCTTCCTGTCGAGCAGAGGATAAAGTCCAAGCCCCTTCACTCGACCAGAGGTATTCCCTGGACAGACCTAAAGGAAAGGGCGTGGCCTCTACTCAGTTCCAGCCAACTATTGCTGTGCAGGGATATGGGTGCAGTGTTGCTAGACTGGATTTTTCAAGAGAAACTATACATTCAGATTTTTCTGCAAAATTTTCTAATTTGAAGATGTTAGCTCACTTAAGAACAATAACATCAATCACACTATCCAGGCCAAATAAAATACTTCTGGTGGATAAATCTGCCCTAACACCCCCGTACTGTGACCTCTGGCTGCACGCATGAATGGAGGGTGCTGACTTGTCAGGGAGGGCAAAGGGTGGATGGTGTGGGCGAGAGGAAGTAGGAGAGGAGAATGGCCTGACCTTGGGGAGTGGCTTCCTGGTATCTGAGAAAGGGATGGGTTAAGGAGAGGGGGTTTCTTCTAGGTCATGAAGTCCGGCCCTCTGTTAACACGGAAATGCCATGGAGGTGGCCACCAGAATTCATAGGGTGCGTGGCTGTATGGATACTTGTTGGGGACTGAATTTTGTGGCTTTGTGAGCTGTGGATTGTGCCAGATCCTGGTAGCCCAAGGGAGTAAGAATTAAATGAGCTCTCTTGCCTTGTTGCTTGGGGACCAGAGCAGAAATGTATTTAGAAAAATAAAGATTTGACGTTTCTGGCACTTGAGTTTTAAGAAGCGGGTCATACCTATCCACACCTCCGAGGTATCCATTGAATTTTTGGTCAGGAGTGTTCAATAAATTACTATTTTAGTATTAAAATGAGCCAGTATTATTGTAAAGGAAGATTCGCTAGGGGATAATAAAAATTGTGTGATACATCCCAAAACCACATAAAGATGAGTTTGGATTATCTTTATCACTGTTCCCCTAAATGGTGTAGATAAGCAGTTAGGGCCACCGCACCCTTAAAGGAAGGGTCACATTTTAGCATTTGCATCAGTGCCAGCTATAGGCTAAACTCCGGCTCATTCTCTTATTCCAGTATTATAAAGCCCACATCTCCTGAGATACAAAGAAAATGCACCTTTTATTTGGAGGGAGTTGTGGAATGTGGAGTCACTTTCCTGAGTTTCTGCACAGGACATTTTGACTCAGCTACCAGTGGTGTCACCTAGTGCAGTAACTCATGGTGTCACCCCTCCATGCTAATTACCACAATATTGTAGCTAAAACACCAGAACATTCGACAAAATCGGCGACTATAAAAACACCGGCAGCAATGAGAACAACAGCGCATGTTTGTAGCGTGTGCTGACAAAACCACGTGATTGGAAGCATCATTGTAGTTGGGTAATAATGACAGCTCTGACTGGAGCGCATTAGAAGGTTCAAAAAGTAAATTAGCGTAGAGTTTTAGCCTTGTAAGTATATTGATACATGTAAGCTGGGCTTCCAAAAATTTTTTGTTGCTGTTATAACTAACTACAGGGATTTTTTTTTTTCTTAATTTTTTTTTTTGTACTTTAGGTGAAGGTTTACGGAACAAATAGTTTCTCATCAAACAGTCAGTACACACAATGTTCCGTGACATTGGTCAACAACCCCATGACATGTCAACCCTCTCCCTTCTCGACCTTTTCTTTTTGGTGAAAATATTCATAGCCAAAGATACACCATTTCAAAAATTTCTACATGCACAGTTCAGTGACATCGATTACATTCTTCCAGTTGTGCTGCTATTCTCACTTTAGATGAAGGTTTACAGAACAAAATAGTTTCTCATTAAACAGTACACATGTTCCCCTATGACAATGGTTAACAACCCCACTAAATGTCAACACTGTTACAGGGATATTTTTATAAAAAATAATAAATTTCTGCTGAAACAGTGTAAACATTTTTTTATAGACAGTCATTTTGGTGTCACCCCTCTGACAGTGTCACCACACCCACACACCCACTAGTGATGCCACTGGCAGCTACTTGTAGTAAAAGGACTAATTTAACGGTGGTTTCCTGGTCATTCAGAAACCACAGTTAAACTTAGTCTTTTCCCTGGTTACCAAAGAACAGCATGGGTGGGCCAGAGGTTCAGGGAGGACAGAAGGGGGCCCAAATGACGTTCTTTAGCACGGCTTTCTTACAGATGTTCAGGGAAATGAAGAGGAGCATAAAGGACAAGGGTGTGCCAGTCCCCACTGCCACTCCTTATCCTCTATTTTCTCTCCAGTCTACCAAGACTCGGTTAACTTTCTTTTGTGTTACTGCTCCCATGTGAAAAACATGAGTATACATTTGCATGATTATTTCCTAGGGTAGGTAATTTTAAGGATCAAAGAAGTGTATAACCCTTTCATCTCCAAGCTATGGCTGTCTCCTGACTTTGTTTACCCTGCAACTTATTCCAAACTCTTGGAGTCTGCAGTTGGATAGACTTGAGCATCATTCAGTCAATTCTTCTTTATTTGGGGCCTGGATTATTCAGATATCTTCACTTTATCAGAAGTGGTAAGTAAGGACTATATGCTTGATATGCCAAAGGCCTTAATAAGCTGTTTGTTGAATGAAAGTGGGTCATTTTATAATTTTGCTAGTTAATTCGGGAAAGATTTTTGGGATTTGGTGGCAGGAGGTGTGAGGAGAGAGATATGGGACATTTTATGAAGTTGATATGAAAGGCTATAAATAAGTTTATCACTATTAGCAGGTTTAAATGATCTGAGCCATCTCTGACCTGTGATGAATCAAATAAGCAAATGTTGGCTATATTACAGGATATATACAGGCTGCTGTATTACACACTTACGAGCCATCCTTTTCAATTTCAGTTCCTGTAGCTTTTGATAAGGTAGCATGTGTGAACATAGGAATAATGAAGATTTGATAACAGATAACAAATAGTGTGTTCATCAGTCAAGAGTGATTAATTCCTTACTTCTCAGCTTGCGATGTTTTGCTGTGGTTTTGCCTGCTGAGCCGTTCTTCTTGGCTGGGGACATTTTGGTGGTTGAATACTTTGTTTTTGGCTTTATCGTTGAGGCTTCTGTTGGATTTAAAGACAATGTTAGTAGATTAATTGTCTTAACTTGGAAACAAACAGAAACAATTGTAGCTAACTCAACATAATATGGATAACATAACTACATAGAGAAAATAATGATTTCAGTAAAATTTGAACATGGTATTCTGAATATATATCCATATTGGAATGTAGTCAGAAGACAGAAAGAACTGGAAAGAAATGTTAAACCTCACTTGGTGGGTTTATTGGTGGTGATATTGTTGGTATTGTAACTTTGACACTGTTTTGTTATTAAAAAAAAAATTTCTGTTGAGTGGCTTCTAATTCACAGTGACCCTTTAGAACAGAGTAGACCTGCCCTATAGGGTATTCAAGGCTGTGATCTTTATGGAAATAGACACATCTTTCCCCCGTGGAGTGGCTGGTGGGTTGGAACCACTGACATTTTGGTTAGCCACCAGGGCTCCTTCATTGTCATATTATAGGATGGAGCAAATAAGTAATATATGATGTCACAGGATTTCCATTGTTGGGAAAAGTTCATAAAATATAAAGTAAAAAATAGGCAAGGAAAAAGAAAACCCCTGTAATGTTAAATTTGATTCAGCAATATCAGTGTGCCCAGTTTAGTTTCTACACACATTCCCCACTAAAAGGAACCAGAACTTCAGATCTGGGACTGGGAAGGTAGGAGGTGAGCATGGACTATCCGGTTGTGGCAGAAAGCAGTGAGCCACTCAAAAACTGATGAGATTGTGTCAGAAAGACACATCCGCCTCCTTGAAGGACCTCCCACTGGCCAAATCCGACACAATTTTAGTATCCAAAAGAATAATGATGATAATCAACTATAAAGTATTTAATGAAGAAAGAACCCACAAATCCATAGCAGTTCTCAAAAACAAATGAATATGGAGGGAAGGCCTATTCATTACAGATATTGTTGTTGTTAGCTGCCCTCAAATTGGATCCCAGCTCATGGTGACCCCTTGCACAACTGAACAAAATGTTGCCAGGTCCTGCACCATCCCCATTGTGATTCATAGGGCTTTCATTGGCTGATTTTCAGTAGTAGGTCACCAGGCCTTTCTTCCTAGTCTGTCTTAGTCTGGAAGCTCTGCTGAAACATGTTCAGCATCCTAGCAGCACACAAGCCTCCACTGACAGATGGGTGGTGGCTGTGCATGAGGTGTGTTGGCTGGGAATTGAACCCAGGTCTCCTGCATGGAAGGTGAGAATTCTACCACTGAACCATCACTGCCCCTCTTACAGGTGTCTTCTCTGCCATAAATTGCAGAAAACCCCATATTCTTTCAGTGTGTTCTGAGACCTGGCTTGGTTATCAAGGTACTGTGGTGCTGTGGTTTGTGGAGAGAGCAGGACTTCTTCTCCAGTCTAAAACTCTCTCTTCTGTTCCCTGAAATTCTACCAATAGTTATTACTTCTTATGTTAAACATTGCCCTCTCTTTTTGCTATGATATTTAAAAAATAAAATCCAAATGATCCCAGCGGTGGTTACTATTTAAATTTCTTATCAACTTCATCTGGATCAGCTCCTCTAGCAAGGTAAGGGGGAGAGTGTTAAGTGCCTGGTTAGAGGACTCATTGGAAGATAAACTTCATGCAGCTTTATCTGTGACCCTGGACAGCCCTACAGAGGCTGAAATTCCAAACTATCTTGTCTAGATGGAGCTAGAATCTTATGTGCGGGCAGCCTATTTACAGCCAGTCCCGTGAGCAAAAATCCCACAATGGTGGGGTAAGTTGAGGGCTCCCTTTTCTGCCCTCCATCTTCCCATGGGAGTGAGTATTATTCTCATACCTCTTGAAGTCCTCAATCAATTCTTACCCTCTTCCTTTGACTCTCTTACCTTTATTGATTAAGAACACTTAGGAGCAGAGAGTCTTAGATAAACATTTTACTGAGTCCCTTACTCTACAAATGGGTAGACTGAAACTCTGAAAGATTAAGTGCCTTGCCCAGGATCACAAAAACAGAACTGGGACTGGGAATTCCTGGCTTCCATCTTAATGCCAGTCCTTTCCTCTGTACCCCTTCCCCCCCCCCCCAAAAAAAAGGTAGGAAGAAAATAATCACAACTGCAAATTTAACTTCAAATGCTCAGCCTTTGTTTATACACAAAATAATTGTCCAACTGCTTTGAAATAGTAAATTTCTGGATACGAGGACTAATTTGTAATCTCAGAATGTACAATAGTGCACTTAGGTAACCCTATTGTAGTTAAACTTTAAATTGTACAGAAAATAGTTTAAACGGTGTCCTGCACACAGTAGGTGCTCAGGTAACACTTCACTAATAATCTGTCCTAGAAAGAAATTTTCCTGGATGTTAAAAAAAAAAAAAAAAGGTTGCATTCTAAAATAAATCTGGGAAATGTTCTAATCTATATCCCACCTCTTGGAGGACCAAAACTCACGTTAGCATAGAAAAGTTGTTCATCATCCGTCATTGAGGAATTGTTTTAATCAATTATGTCCAATAATTATGTGATCTTATAACCTTTGTTTAACTAATTATTTCCAATAATTATGTGATCTTATAACCTTCCCCCCACCCCCGCTAGCATCCCCACGGACTAGTCTGAAAGAACACACTTGGAAGAACTCCACTATAAACAAAGATTAGCTTGCACAGCTGAGCAAGGTAGCTAAGAAGATGAAAATGCCACTACTGGTGATGAGATCGTTGACACAGAGTCAGCAGCTTTTGTTGAATTGCATGATAAATCAAAAGCATAATCAGGAAATATTTTCAAATCCCCTTCTGAAACACAAAGCATTTTCTTCAAACAACCTACAAATCTTTTACCTGCATAAGTATGATCACTTTTCTCGCCATTTTGCAGACTTAAAATTTACTCTGTCCTATTTTTCAATCAGAAATGTTTCAGAATACATGGCAGCATAAACATCACTGGTTCTTTTACAATGCTGCTTCTGTTAACATACAGCAAATATTCTTGTACAGTGGTTATGTACTCACCTAAGTCATAAACGTGAAGGGCTGGCCTTGGAAACTGGTTTCCTCTAGACAGCATTTGATAGTAGTTAATGTCAACTGGCAGTTACATTCTAATTCATTTGCAAGTAGAACTAGTTGCGCGGACTAGAACATGGTGGGAGTGTATCTTATTCTTATTGACAATCCTAATCCGAGCCTTCACTTTAGTTGTTTTCGCTGTAGCCATTCAGTGAGCTACACATAGTCAATCGTTAATTCTTATTAGACCTTTATGATGGGAACTTTATATAGTTTTTATTGCTTGATAGACAGTATACAAGGGCACAGATTGTTTAATTGCCTTTCTCTTCTCTACAGAAGGTTTAAAACTTTTTAAGTAATTTTTTTCTGGTTATAAAAAAGATGTATATGCACTTAGAGAATTTGTAAATGACATGAAAGCACATATGCCATAGATCCTGACATTCTTTTTTCTATGCAGAAATATTATATACATACGCATCTCTTTTTATCAAAAAAGGAATCATACTGCAAATAATATTTTGCAAGTTGCCTTTTCCATTTTTCAGTTTACATAATACCATGAACAAACCCACATGTCAGAAAACATTCTTTTACAAATAGCTTTATAGATAGCATTCTATCTCCAGCTGGTCATTTATTGATGAATACTTTGGCTGTTTTTCAGTTTTTTCCTTTTTTCTCTAAATATCACCAGTGTGGCGATTGACGGCTCTGTGTGTATGTGTGTATGTATAATTGTGATTCTTGGTAAACTTCTGTAAGTTTATTGTTAGGGTAAATTCCTCGTAGTGAGATTGCTGAATTAAAGGATACATGTATCTTATATTTTGGTAGATATTGTCCACTTGATTTCCAGAAGGCTTGTATCAATTTATAGTTCTGTCAGCCAGCCATGTGGGTGCCCTTTTCTTCAGTCCCTTAGCAGCAATAGGCATCATCATATAAAATGTTTACCTTTCTAAAAGGTGAAAAATCTTACTGCTTAGAATTTTGTTTCTTTACTTTAGTGAGATTGAGCATCTTCTTAAAAAATCATTTGTTGTCAATTTCTGTAAATTATTGATTTACATGAAGTCTTTGCAAGTTGGAGCCCTGGTGATGCAGTAGTTAAGCGTTAGGCTGCTAATCAAAAGGTTGGCAGTTCAAATCCACCAGCCGTTCCTTCAAAACCCTATGGGGCAGTTCTACTCTACTATAGGGTACTACTCTACTATAGGGTACTACTATAGTTCTGCTGTAGGGTCACTATGAGTTGGAATCAACTCGACGGCCACGGGTTTGGTTTTTCTTTTTCTTTGTAAATTAAGAAATCAAATCTTTGTCTGTGATACGTGTTGCAACTTTCTCCCAAGTGTTATTGATTTTACACTTTGTTAATGACTTTTCTTGCCATACAGGAGTTTTCAAATATTGTGTGGTAAAATTTAATCAATTTTCTTTTAGAATTTCTGGGTTTTGTGTCCTGCTTCAAAAGACCTTCCTTTCTCTAAGATTATAAATAAATTTACTCATGCTTTGAAAGGTTAGCCGTGAAGAGGAGGCACGCTTCTTCCTGTAGGAGAATGGAAGTAAGAGAAAGGGAGAATACATGACGTTTTAAAGTCTGGAGACACGCACTTGAGGGTCTTGTCAAATGGCCTCAGTCTTCTCCGTAATGTAGGCCATGAGAAGAGCTGCAGTGATTAAGCAGAATAGAGTTGGAGTTGAACTTTTGAGGATAAGTGAGAAAAGTCTGGAACACTCCTTGGAGAATGTAAAAAAGAAGTAACTAAGGGTGACGAAGATACTGATTACTCTTGAGGGCATAACTAGAGATAGAATTGGTTAATAAAATTACTTTCTTCCTAATGCCTGAAAAGTCATATTCAAGGAAGCTATAGGAATTTTGGCACAGTGGTTAAGAGCTTGGCTGCTAACCAGAAGGTCAGCAGTTCAAGTCCACCAGCCACTCCTTGGAAACTCTGTCGGGCAGTTCTGCTTTGTCCTGTAGGGTCA